AATCTTAATGTGCAATTTATATAGCTCATTTCAACACTCCTAGCCTTGAACTATTCTTTATTTTATGATGATTTAAATGATGTTGGATGCTCAGATATCTAAAAAATGAAGTAATATGTATTTTGTCAAAATATCCATGCCTTTTTAATCTAACACTACTTTAATAAACAATTTAAAGTTATTAATAGTAGTTTTAATACTAGAAATAGCACAGTAGTAGCAAGAGAACTAGATAATGAATCATAATTTATTTACATGCAATACTTGAAATTCTCCCAATCTATGAGTTGTCATTATTACCCTTATCTTATGAGGAAATTGAGGCTTACACAAGTTAAATGTCGTAAGCTTTGGGTTGGGAAAATGGCTCAGTGGCCTGGTAAGTGGGAGGTCCTCAGTTCAATTCCTGACACCAAAAAAAGTCTTGATATTTATACAAGTAATAAGTATGACTCCAGCCAAGACTATTCCAACACATTGCTTTTGACCACTGCAAAAAAGTAGAAACACACATTGTAATATTTTTATTATTATTTATTCTCCTCTTTTACGTAAAATAGGATGAGTAAAGAAAAATTGCTTTTCAAGGCAAGGAGTGTTGTCAATGGCAAACCTAGGTGCCAGTACTTCCCACCAGAGCATCATTCTACCACTTTCTCCAGCCCCTCCTGTTTATAGATAATACCGCCTTTTGGCTTAGTTTAGAACCTTACGTTAATTTTGCTATATAGTGTATGTTCCACATATATTCCTTAGAAAATTCCAAACTTTTATGTGGATGTTTAAATTATTTCACCTAAAAGTTTGAAAACTTCCATGATGCCAAAGAACTAATTGGAAACCAGCGATTTTCAAATGAAAGAGCTTTTGAGCCTACAAATGAATGAGCCTGAAAAGCACAGCTGTGTTTAGAAAGAGGCTTTATAACAGTCCAAGGCAGAATTTATTAGCTTATTCCCTCCTAATGAGTTCCATATAATACCTTTCAGTTAATAAGCTAATGATCATCTTTGTAGCTGAGTAGCTAGCAAATTCTGACTTCAACTTATGAAAAAATGCTGGAGTTTGTTAGTAAAGTGAGCAGACACGATACTGCTGGTGTCATTCACATTCTCGGATTTCCAGAAGCTGTGTGGTGTGAGCTTGTAGTCTTCAAAGAGTGGCAGACGTATGCCTACTGTTGTCAAATGCCTTTCCTTCCTGCCCCCTATACAACTCGAAGGCTAAAAAGAAGGTTCTGTGGAAATGGGTAACAAACTGAGCTGAGCTTTTCTAAAGCTCAAATGATTTGCCTCTTCATCTGTTCTCCAGCTCACAAAAATGTGTTTCTTTTACTCTCATCTGTGTCATAGGGCAGACAGCCCTAACTGTCTAATGAGATCCCTTTTCAGTGTGGTAATTGGCAAAGGACCTGCGGTTTCACCATAGTTCTTGTTAAGCCGCGGGGTCCTGGCCTGCAGGATGCCACACTGTCAGTGATATTAATTGAATCGCAATGGCCTCAGGCAGCAAATCGGGATTTCCTGAAAATTGTTTCAAGTTAGAGGATTAAAATCAGATGTGGGCTGTGGTTACAAAACGGAACATTGGCTCAATGCATGACATCATCAGCGAAGGAACACGGGGTTTCCTGCCCGTTATTTCCTCAACAGTGTTAACTAGGAAACAAAATTCAAACAGCACTTTAAAGTCTCTGCACTTTGCATTTCACTCTTTCCGGTTCTTGGTCCCACACAGAGTACCCGGTACACACTTACCCATCTCCATTTTGCGTGCCTGGTCAGTACTCAGCTCTTGTAAAGGGGGGTTTTTAAGAGTTGCCCTTGGTTCCCACTCTTTTAGACCTTCCATCCCACCCTCTCCTTTGTCCTCAGAGAAGCCCCACATACAGAGTTGAGATGCTCACTGCTAAATCTTCCTTTAGAACTAGCCAGGGAGGGTGAAGTCCATTGCGGTGTTCCAGCCCCGAAAAGGAAAGAAGGTAAGGAGAGGGACCCCGCCCGCCCTTGCCTCCCAGCCTGTGGCCCCTTGCATGGCTCTCTCTTCCTCACAGAAGCCCTGCACACACTTCCGTCCCCAGGAGACAGCGCTGAGGCAAAAGCCCTGTTAGATCTGCCAAGATTGCTGTGCCCCGAATAAACCTGGTTACTGGGACCAGGATGTAACTCAGGGGCACTAGTGCCTGCCTGGGTCCTAAGTTCTGTTCCCGGTACCAAAAAACCCAAACACGGTTATTTCCTAAAATGGACAGACATTGGACTCCAGAAATACACCAAGGGGGGCAGGCAATAATTATTTATGTGAGATGTGAAAAACTTAAAGACCTCTATAATTGCTTTTATTATTTGAAAATGCACAGAAAATGTAACTAAAACAGAGTTCATGAGATTTCTCATTGTCCTTGCTGGTTAAAGATCTAATAAGATAATATACGTGTATGTATGTGTGTGTGTGTAAATATATGTAGAAAAGATGTAAAAGGTTTTGAAATGTGATATGAAATACCAAGTTTATACATATGTATCCCCTAGAGTATAACTGACCTTGAATATGACTTCCAAATTTTCCATCAATACTAATCACATGAAAGTCTGTAAAATAGTCTCACTCCAGTGAAATAGCTCTTTTAAATAAATTGACCTTAATCCCTTAAAAGGTTAAAACTAGCTTCATTTTTTTTAAAAAATGTGAGTGCACAAATGCTAAATTATTGGTATATTCATAAACACATGCAATTAATTTAAAAACATAATTTGAATGAGCCTGCTACTATAAAGCAAGGTCATACTAGATCATGAAAATATTGAGTAAAAGCTATATAAAAAATTTCAAACTATTGCTCCTTTTTCGCCTGGTACTTTAAAATTTGATATCCAATTATGCACATAAACTGAAATCTTCAGTAATGTGGATGATGACAAACTGAGTGATTTTTAGAGCAGCTTAATTTGAGACTGCATATGTGATGGAAAATCTTTCAGCTGAACTACTCACTAGAGATAAAATCACATGACTGTAAAACACTTAGTGTGGGATAAAACACATATTAGTTAAAAAGGAGCGTTTGAAGATACCTGACATCAAAGAATGCTCCAGTTAAAAGGAAAACATTAAATTAATCGCTTACTTAAAAGGAAAGGGATTGCTTGTACTTGGTACCCCAATCACAGCCCAATGTGATAGAAAATGCTCAAAATCTATCTGAGGGACTATTACTATTATGTGGGGAAAGTAGTGTTATGAGAAATGTCACAAAGATAAGTTAAATGTTTACTAGAGATAATTACATGTAAATTTTATCTTATAGAAAAATTTTTACTTGATTTACTAGGTAACAAAGGAACTAAACACATTTGAGCTGGAGAACACCCTGTTATAAAGCTCATGGTAGTAAATTAATGTCATGACAGTTAAATGAAACATGGGATCCTGGGTTAGATCCTGGGCATCAAAACACAGACAATTGACAGGTTTGGATGAGGCATCTAGATTATAGCACTTTATCAGTGTTAACTTCCTGGTGTTGATACAGTGCACCACTGTGTTTATGAAAGGCAATACCCCTGTGATTTAGGAAACACACTGAAGTGGTAGAGGTAAACTGAAATTGTATCTGCTACCTTATTTCAAAATTCAGGAAAAATGTCTCATGCACACATAGTAGTGGCAGGAAAGTAAAGTGTGAGAAAATGTTAACATTTCCAGTTGGAAGATGTATCTTTGGATGAAAGATACAAAGGAATTTTCTGTGATATTTTAAAAGCTTCTTTGGAAATCTGAAATAGTGTCACCACATTTTTATAGGAAGAAAAGTAATGTATCTGCAATATAAAATGGAGCAAGGGATGACCACTGAGAGCACTTGGAAAAATTATAGTGAAAATCCACATTAGCTTCATTTTGGAGGGAAATGAGAACTTTTATCAGAATTTAAAATGTGTATGTCTTTCAATTCAACACCTCCACTTCTAACATCTAGTTCATGTACAGAAACAAATATGTACACAAGTGTGTTTATTGTAATATTGTTTTGAATTAGGAAACAAAACTTTAAATTTCCATCCTACACAAACATAGGAGGCAGAAGTTAAGCTTTAGTGTGTTACCAACTGGAAAAAACTTCAACATATGTTAAATGGTAAAAAAAGAAAGAAAAAAAGAGAAATGGCAAAATTACACGTAAGGTGAAATATCATTTGTGTCATATTTCATTATGTTAAATGGCCTTGGTAGAGGCTGGAAATGCCCAGAATAAGTTCTGAGTGTGTACAGAAGAGCGGTGACTCTTGGTGAACAGGTAGCTTAGTTTAAAGTGATAAGGCTGTTTAACAGCAAAGCTCAGCCTAAATACGTGTGTTTGTTTCTTAACATAGCAGCATACTCAGGCATTACTTCTGTAATTCACAGGTAAAAAGTTATACGTGAGTTAAACCAATAAGCAACACTGTAGAGGGGTAGAATACATCCCCATTAAAGAGAATGGGACGCTGCTGCCAGCCGGAATGGGGAGCAGGTGAAAGAGAAAGCATATGCTAGTCAGCTTCCCACTGCTCCACAAATACCTGTGAGAAGTCAACTTCAGAAGAGAAACAGTTTATTTTGGCTCATGGCTTCAGCAGTAGCAGTCCATGGTTGTCTGTTTCTGCAGTCTTGGGGCCTGTCGCTAGGCAGAGCATTATGGTAGGAACATGTGGTAGCACAAAGTAGTTCCCCTGAGGTGGCTAGCAATCAGTCAGAGAGAGGGAGGGCCAGGGCCCCAGCACTGCCCTCTGCTACCCAATCTAACCTCTTCCCCAGGGACCCACCTCACTGAGATTCTACCACCTCTCAACAGCTCTGCAGAGTGGAGACCAAGCATTTAACACACGGCCTTTGCAGGACACTGAACCATAGCACGTAGGCCCTGAAGGAACATCCAGTATAATAAGGAAAGGGAAGCAGTACTGGTGACTGAAACCGCAATGCCTTCAGCAGAAGCATACAATAAGAAAACTTACTGATTTGTGAGGAAAAAGATGTTAACTTTTATTTTAATGACACTGAATTTAATGCATCAGGAGCTCTCACAAATCTAGAAAAAAGTAATACTGGAAGTACACAGGCAGGAACTGCCCTGCAGTTACGACCAACCTTTGAGAGACCTTTAAAAACAAACTGTCAGCAGGACTTCATTTGTATGATCACTAGGTAATGTTCTATTTGAAGTTATGGATATACGCTTAGTCCAGGGATGCTTACTTATATTACTTGGGTATTAAAATTTACCAAAGAAGCTACAATATTATATTTCAGAAAAGATACTTGTTCACACTATTTCCAACAAATACAGCTCTACATAATGAGGGCTTCTCTTGAGTATGGTACGTGTTCCACTTAAAATTCTCTATCATTCTCCCCAAAATGAATACAATTTGCAAAAATAAAAAAACATTGTAAGTACAATTATTATACATAAAATTTTAAATGCTTTAAATCCTATTCAAGACATTTTCCCCCACATAGTTTTGTTAAAGCACTATTGTCCTGGATCTTTGTAGGATATTGACGTTCATCAATAAAGTTATCTGTGGCATCTTAAAATCACTCAAATGGTTACACTTTTGCAACTAGGGGGTGCTGAAGGACTACAGAGGATTAAGTTATATCCCATTAAAGTTTTTTCAATGAGGTCTTTACAATTAGTCATCAATGAACTAAACAGCATTGTATTACATATGGTAGTTCGCATAATATTTTAATACATTATTTAACACATTATCCCATCAAATTGTCCCTACAAACTCTCATCTGGAACATCCCAGCATATCCACTTGGTCTTACACATATCTTACTGTTAATTCTAACTTCACCAGCTGTAGAAATAAAAAGGTGCATTGAACGTGATATTTTTAGGAATGGGGTGGGTCTCATAAAATGAGACTTAATGCTTACTTTCAGATTGGAATGAGATCAAAGAAAGTAAATCTCAGTTGTCTAGACTTTCAGCCAGAAAGAAACTGTAAGTAGAAATGAAGTCTAACATAAACAAAGATATAATTTACTTAATCTTTAAGTGTTTTGTAATCTACCCCAAAACATTCAAATAAATAAAAAATATAGAAAATATTTTTAATATTACTTAAAATGCATGAGCATTTTAATGCAGTAAGAAGTTAAAATTTTAATGATAGTGGGTAGTCTTTCCAATTCAAGTTACTTCTAGTAATATGACATTTATTTCCTCTTGGTTCACTAAAATGAACTGAAATAACACATCTACTAGTGCATTTCAATGTAAAATTTGTGTAACTGTTTTTAAGGCACAATGCTTTTGTGTAATTTGTATCAACAAATGAAATTCATGAAAATACGTTTAAATTTTAAGGTGGATTCAGTAAGGTTTTTATGCTAACTACTTAAATGATGCATCTATCTTTTCTTTGCTTTTATCAAAAGCCAGAATTTAGTATGCATTGGTCTAATTCCAGATTTCCCTTTGTTTCAAAAATGCATACTGTGTTTCACTAGCTGGCATTCTGACAACTGAGATATAATGATCTGATTTTTACAAATTAATGGTTTTGTGAACTTTATTTCTCCACAGTCTGCATAATTTATAATTGATATATTTCTACTTACAAAGTTTAAACAATATGAATACAACTCTGCTTAATCTGTGATAATACCATCTTAATACAAGAATAAGATGTCTTTTCTGAAATTTACAAAGCAGAAACTCTGAAATACTACTAATACATTATAAAGGTGACCACAACAGGAAGCAGCGTGCACAACATTTCATTATCAGAATTACCTGAAGTATTTGCAATTTACACTAACTGAAGAGAATTGTTTTAATTTATATTGTGTAGTATGCTCATTGTTCATTTATTTTTAAAGCAATATGTTTGCTATACATATATACATCATTATTAGAGCACACACATTACAGGTTCATGCTGCCATTCAAATTAAGGTGCCACATTTTATTTTAATCAAATGGCATCCAAAATGCAATATATTGCTATGAAAATGCAAAAGTTTTCACAGATCAGTAAATGTGAATGAGGGTGGTCACAATGAAATAGGATTTTGTTTTATACAAGTGGAAAACGTTTATCACAAATATATAGACCAGTATATAACATTGAAGAACAAGAAGCAGAAAGGAAATAACGCTCTGGCATAAAGATCAATTCGCTTGGCTGCTGTTGGGATTACAGGCTTGGCAGGGGGAGGCTTCTTGCTGTTCTTTGCTTGAGACTTTCCCAGGCCGTTGTTGACTTCGATGGGTTTTCCATAGCAGTCATAATTGGATAATTCAAAATCTCTCGGTAAGCTTCCGACAATGCTGAAGTCATTAGATCTCAGATCGGACTTAGAAGTACAGACCTTTTTACATCTGGTCTCACCAACCTGAGGAGAACAATTAAGGACAGGAGACATGTAGAGTTTTTCAACATGTAAAACACATATCTTTTAAAGACTACTTCATAAATTGCTGGGTTCCGCAGGAGATACTTGTTTACGCCACAAAGCACTAACACCGATCACAGTCAACTGGTTAAACCATCAGACTGCTTGAACATTTAGGGTGAAATGTTGCCTAAGTCACAAGGGCAACATCATGAAATCAACTTTATTTGTTTTAGGCTTGTGAGAATTTTCCCAATTTAAAGACCAAGAAACAAAAATCCAACTCCGGTCCAGTACCTAACCACGAAAGAGATAGTGTTCTACTGTGTATAGATTAGAGGAATCTTCGGGTTCCTTTAACCTTTGATTTCCCTACTGATTCCATTTCTAAACAAGGTTGTTCATAAATGACTGAGGAGCTTCTCCCTCCAATAAGACGGTCTCTAAAGCACATTTACAAGTAAGCAGTAAAACATGGTCACAGCGACCACAAACATGTGGCAGACACTTGCAACTCGTTGGCTAAAGTTGTATTAAAGGGGCTGGGGATTTAGCTCAGCGGCACAGCGCCTGCCTGGCAAGCACAAGGTCATGAGTTCGATTCCCGGTACAGGAAAAAAAATAAATAAATAAATAAAGTTGTATTAAACAACCACATTAAGGAAACACAAAGTCATATATATTTCAGCTCTATATATTTCATGTGGTACAGAGAGCATGTAGCTACTAACTTCTGAATTAATAAATTTGGATAAATTTCTTATAAAAATAACTAGTTTCCACTGAACTCCAGCAATGAGATGCCATTAGACTAGACTCAAACTCCCATGGTGATACACTAGCACTCACTTTCCACCCATGGCTTAATTTTCTCACTGTTAACACTGAGTATTGTGATTCATCTTTGAAATCTTCACTACTGGCATTTAATTACTTTTTGGTGGAAAAGGAGTCCATTTCACTGTATATTGTTTGTATATTACTGCCACTCTGGCTTTTGCTGTCATAGCATAATAATTCATTGGCTGATTCTTGAAATTCTATGTATATGTTCTAGATTATTCCTGGGTAAAACAATAATGCCTCATCTAAATACAACACATTTTATTTCTCAGAAGTACATTAGGTACCAGTAGACTATCTTTCATTTGAACAAATACTAATATATACCTCCTGGGCAGTGTTTAGAGGTAGACCACAAAAATACACTGAGTGAAAAATCAGGTTCACCAGAATTCATTCCTCTTATCAAATAAAAACGTGTACTTATTGCCTGACCTGGGATGTGCTAATTACCTTGAGTTGATCACTACCCAATCTATATATAAATCAATAATCACATTGTACCTCATAAATATTTGCAAATATTATTTGTCAAAAAATACAACAATAAAAAGAAACACAAGCTGAGCACATAGGTACACACTTCTAATCCAGCAGTCTGGGAGGCTGAGGCAGGAATATTGTAAGTTCGAGTCCAATCTGGACAACTGTGATATAGGGAGACTCAATCTCAAAACAAACAAACAAAAAAAAAGTTTAAAAAGAGCTGGGAACTTATCCCAGGGCAAAGGCTGTGGGTTCAGTCCCTGGTAACACACACAAAAATGTGTTTCTATACCCATCTGTCACTCTATATGTAAGTTATTTCCCTTTTCTCTAGGCATGAACACACAAACTTTTTGAGTTAGGAAACACGCTTTGGCAGTGTCATTATACACCTCATGTACACTTGTGCATTCCTATTGGGTAAGAATTTGTAAATGTGTTTATGTAAATCTAATTGTGGAAACATACACAAAAACTGATAGTAAGGATGAATGGGGAAGGAAGAGATAAAAGGTCTTGCCTCCAGCCAGGTTGTGCACACCCATAATCCTAGCAGTCAGGAGGCTGAGGCAGGAGGCTCACTCTGAGCCAGAGGCCAGCCTGAGCTATACAATGAGTTCAGGACAGCCTGAACTATCTAGTAAGACTCTGTCTCAAAAATAAGCAAGTACTGTTATGGTTGATACATTGCGTCAGCTTGGGGAGTCTAGAGGTTTGGCTAAGTGACTCAGCAGTTCTACATCCTGGGGTGCAAAGGACATGCCCTTCCTGCTCTAGGATGTTGTTCATTGTGTCAATGTGAGAAGTTTAGAAGGTTAATTATGTGTGTGCCACCCATTGGGTGGGAGTAGCTAGGGTTCTTACAATAGAAGGGAGGGAAAGAGGCTTGCAGGCACTGCCATTCCCCGCTTTGCTTTTGTTGCTTTGTTATCGTCTGCCTCCGAGCCAGCCAAGTATGGGCCGAAACCTCCAGAAACTGTAAGCTAAAGAAACCTTTCCTTCCTTCATTTTGGGATTTGTCTCAGCAATGAGAGAAAAGTAACCAAGACAGTACATAAATAAATAGAGTCACTCTTCCTAAGTTTTCATACTGAAAAAAAAAGAGAAAGGATCACCAATACACAGACGTACACACTTTATAAAGCTGCCCACATGGAAAGGATCCCACCCCAGTTTGACAGATTTGATTGTGCTGCTGTGGACCATTGTGAAGAACCAGGATTCCAGCCCCAGGCTTCCCCGCTTTAACGTGCAGGGACCGAACATCCCTGGGAGAACACGCTGTCTGGAAAGAGCCCTCCCTATGTCTGCATGGCGTCAACACCAGTCGGGTTCAGTCACCTCAGTTTATGCCCCGTGTCCTGAAGAATACCTGGCACAAAATGAGGACTGGTTAACCCAGTGAGAGAAGACGAAGCTAGCCACTAAAATGTAAGTGCTGTACATCTGACGTACAGAAATGCACATCTATCCAACAACGTGCATAGCCAAATATTTCCACTTCCAGGCCTCCATTCCCTGCCCCATTTAAGTTGTCCAAGCTGAACTTTTAAGACCACATTCAACAGTGAGTCAGCACCAAGCTTCACTCTGCGTGCACGTGCAGGTCACTTGGGAATCCTGCTTGCACAGGTACCGCCCAGGCAAGGCGCGGAGCAGCAGACGGGAGACCCTGGAGTATCCTCTGAGCAGATCGCCGAGCCTCAGAGGGTGGACCAGTACTACAGCTCGAAGTCAAAGAACCTCTACATCCCCAAAATTTTCAATCTCTTTAGACTCTCCAGGCCACCTGTAAAGTCAGGGACCTGTGGGTACCCCAGGCTTTCTTTCTCTTTTTAGAATTCCCAACTTGAAGATTTTAGATGCTTGAGAACCAACTTAGCAAAACAAAAGAGGACGTCCTCCTGCAGCAGGCCTCCCCAGCATGACTCTTATTTTTATTTTTTCACAAACAAGACCAAATGTATTTTCAGTAGAAATGTACTTACTATAAATTATGCTTTTTACATAGATCAGAATGTGGTTCTACTTTCTGTAAATAACTAAACATGTGACCAAATGTATAGGGTGTTATAACCACATAACCTAAGTCAACCATGAATATTTGAAATATTCTAATCATTTATATAACCATATCTTTAACTGTGGTAGTTTTAATAATTTCAGGAATTTTACCCAGAGTTGACCAAAAACGTACAATTGTGATGTTATCTTTATTCAGAGATTATTTATTATAAATGTATCAATAAAAGAAGAATGAACTTCAATGTCAAAACACCAAAAAGCATGCCAAAAAGCTAAAAGTTGGTTATGTTAGTGATTTACTTCTTTAAAGCCTCTTTCAGCAATATATTAGAAGATTGTTCTATTCTGAATGAGTGCCGTGTGTGTGTGTGTGTGTGTGTGTGTGTGTGCGCACGTGCACACACACACACACGTGCACACACACACGTGCACTGGTGAAGAGAAACAATTTTTAAAGATGTGAGAAGACAAAGTGTGTAATATTCAGTTTTCTACTGAGAAGAGTCCTCTAGGATTGCTAAATAAGTCTGGATTATTTCACTAGTTGGCTGATTACTTCTTGTTGCATTTATCAGAGATTTTTACTGAAATAAACTTCCTTTTACCTTTGATACTTTTTAGGCCTTATTATCATATCAAATATAGACGGAAAACTACAAAAGAGTTTGTAAGTATCATTTTCAATGATAGTTATAATATCACGTGTAAAGGGACAAAATAAACTGCTTAAAATAAGGAAATAGCTCTACTTAACACAATCTTTAAAGTAAATTTTGTCATATTAACCTACAATTTATAATTTTTCAATTATTCCTTCCCAGGAAGATATATGTTACTTACATTTTTATAATTTTTTCATAGAAATTTCTGTCACTTTTGAAAATTACTGGTAACAAAAATGGGTAGTATAACAAAACTGTCGAGAATAAAATATGGTAGAGATAAAGCTTCTTAATGCTTCAAACATTGTTCTCTCAGATTTTCTTTGTGCTTCCTTCACATTGGAATGTACACACATTTCAAACCAAGTAATTTGAGATGATATTTCTTGACTTAGAGACTTAAGCATGGTTTTATGGTGGTAAGCTATTTCCTACAGATGATTAAAATATGTTCAGAGGAAATAATCTCTATATATTTTACTGAATTCAACTCAACTCTTATTTTTAAAGATATATCATTACCACAAAGAAATAACTGTCTCATTCATAAATGAGCCACAACTTATATTTTCTAATTTATTCAAAATTGTAGACTTGGGTGCTGTCAAAATTTTGTTACTATTGTCTTTCATTCATAGAACCTTTGAGTATGGATAAGACCCAGTGCTAGCAAGAGGGTGCTAGTCACAATAATGCAGTCTCAACTGATTTTGCTGGATAATAAGAAATACATGAGTAAAGAAACAAATTAAGGCTCAAAATAATGTGATGGCTAAAACAGTTCAGCTCCTCTGGGGAGTGGAAAAATCCCCAATAATTTTATGTTTTATCACAAATTTTTGCTTGTGGGCCATAAACTCTAGGAATCTCATACTAAAAACTGGATGAAAATGTAGATTCTGCTTCCTGGAAGATGAAGTAGACCATGGACCCAATTGCTCTTGCTCAGTTCCATGAAAACCTTGGACATTCTGTTTAAAAGGAGGGCAAGGAAGAAGGGGAGTAGAAGACTGCTGTAACTGTGAAAGCTCGAGGGAAAGAGGAAGACTCCTTGGGATCTGGAACTGACGGACTGAATGGTGATTTTTAGTAACTGGAAAACCCAGTGGCTGCTGCATAAAATTCCCCCACAATAGTTTGCTCTGTCCAGCTAGAGGGCAGGGAGGGACAGCACAGTAATACAGACAACTTTTAGCCAACAGTGTCTCTAATCCCCCCAAGGGTCACAGGAAAAAGAAAACTCTGGCCCCTTTCCTTCACAGGTGAAAGAAACCAGCCAGGAGCCCTGCTCAGTGAGGGCGGTGCCCTGTAGTACCTGAGAGTGGCGGGGGGGGGGGCTCCATTGAAGAGTGGGGAGGCTCCACTGAGGCACTGCAGCCCTCCTGAAACCGCATTCAAGAAGGCAGAGGGGAGTGTGATGATGACTGCCATCTCTCCGGCCAGCAACAACGCTTCACATCCTGCTCAGGCCCGTGGAGACCTCACAGAGGGCACAGACATCGGTCCCCACCCAAAAGCTGCAGGAGAAAGAGCTCTTCCTCTTCCACATTGTGGAGAATGTGGAAGTCAGGACTTCAGCTGCACCCATAGTTGGCCAGCACAGCCACCCTGCTGAGTCAGGTGCTCACAGAGTGGGGTTGCATGAACAATGAGACTCCCACTCTCAGTACTACAGGGCACCACCCTCACTGAGCAGAGTTCCTGGATGGTTTCTTCACCTGGGAATTATGAGTCTGCACTCTCCCGCCCTGGCACAGAGCTAGAGAAAGTCAGCAACCACACAGAGTGTAAACGAGATTCACAGCGGCACAATATAGAACGTGAAAATTCAGTAGAAAGAGTCACTAGAAAATCGTTCATCATGCAGTGAACTGGAAAAAGATTTCAAATTGAATTTAAAAATCAGTGAATGTCAAATCCAAGACGCCAAACTGAGAAATGGTTGATGTTAAACTGTCCATGATAAAAACGCTTCAGTGAACTACTAGATAAGTTTGAAACAAATGAAAAACTGGAATGCCTCAGGAGAAAGAAAATATAAATTGGCACCAAAAACTGAACACACACATAGTGCTATGACTTGTGTGTAGAGGCCCCCCCAAACTCATATGTGGTCGTAGGTAGGGCTTTTTTACAGGTGGCTGGAACTAGCACGTGCGATGCTGGATTAAGGATGGGAGGCTATAATCAAGGGTGTGTGATTATTAAATTAATCCCTGATTGGTTTGGCACGGTTCGCAGTGCAAATAATGGGAAGGACCACCTGGTATGAGTGCTACCTGCCCTAAGGCCTTGGAGCCTGGACAGAATACAGGGGACAGAAAGAGGGTTGCTGCTGTCACTTGCTGCTTTGCTACTTTTCTGTTTGCTGTTCGCTGACTTGCTGGCTTCTGCCTGCCATGAACTGTTTCTCCTCTGCCATGCCATCCTGCCTTGGAGCCAGCCAACTATGAAATGAAATCTCTATCAACTGTGAGCTACAACAAACCTTTCCCCCTTTAACTTTGGATGCTGGGTATTTTGTCTCAGTAATAAGTAAAGTAACTAAGTCACAGGCATGCATACATACAAACATACATACATATATATATACATACACCAAATGAGGATGTTAGAACTGAAAATATATAATAACCAAACCATAAATTTCATGGATCAAATTGGAGGTGAGTATCATTGAGCTGATTGTTATAATACAAGATAACCAAGCAGAGAAAAGAGACCAGTGAAAATTAATAGCAGCCCAAGATATAGAAGTATAACACCGGCTCTAGGATTTGTGTTCCTGGAGTCCTTAAAATAAACAAGAAAGGGGCAAGAGTGAAAAAGTACTCAAATAATAACTGAAGAGTAGATTCTGCAAGTGATACAAACCTACATTTTCAATAAACTGTGCAATTTAAAGAAAGATTAACCCAAAGAAATCCCCAAAAAGACACACTACAATTACACTTCTGATCATTTAACACATACACATTTTTTTAAAGTCCAGAGACAGCACTCTGCATCCACGGGGAGGAGGACAACTGGAAAGCTCGCTGCACTCTCAGGAGGAGGAATGCAGTGGAGAAGATGCAGAGCCCTTGCCGGGTGCCAACAGCAGGCTGAAGGAGTGAACTGTGATTTCTACCGCCCTGCACCTGGAACAACTGTCTTTCCGAAAGGAGGCAAAAACCAAGATGTTCGCAGACACAGGAAAGGAAACCAGAGGTTTTACCAGCGAACCTACCCCAAATGATGGATAAGGCAATTCTCTGAGAGTAAAGAAAATAATGAGACATACCTTTGGAATATCAGGATGAAATAAAGGTCACAGTAAGCAAAATATAAGTAAGCTTTTCTTCCGCTCTGAGGTTTTTATATTATATTTATTAAGGAAACACAAACCAACACTGTAGAAAAAATGCACTGTCAATATAGTAGGCAAAACAATTAAACCAGGAGCAGAAAAAGGGATGTAAAGGGAGGTCAGGACTTTGTGCACCACAGCCTCATGAGTAGCAGAATCTCCCTGCAGCTGCCACTCCTTGCCCACGGAGAGAACGGCGTCGTGTCAGGGCGCTCACTCACCTGCAGAGTGCTGATGTGGACAGGGGTCCCTGTACCATTCACAGTGTTCTTTTTAGCGGCATTCCCGCCTTTGCCATCTGCTTGCTCGGCCTTAGCAATTCTGGCCTTTTCTGCCTCCACTCTTTTGGGGTTGTTCAGCATCACCTGGACGACTGCGTACTCTACCAGGGAGGCGAAGCCGAAGAGAAGACAAGCGATGAGCCAGACATCCAGTGCCTTCACGTAGGACACTTTGGGGAGCTCAGCAGCCAGGGTGGTGCACTCTGAGGCCAAGCTGAGTACAGAGAAGATGCCTGCAGACACAGAAAGAGAGGTGCGGAGCCTGCGTCCCTACAAGAGGTTCTGCAATCACTGCTCTTTCTCCCAGTTCCTCCTCTCCAGCAACTGTCAAGGGACCAGAGAACTCTCCCTTAGGGAGCCCAGACAGACGACTTAACCAGTGCAGGCTTTGCGCTTTTGTGTGCTATGCTGCTATTTCCAGGAACAGAACCCAGGGTCTCCAGCCCCGGGTAAGTGCTCTAGCATACCCTCAGCCAAGAGGCAGGCGTGCAGGGAAGGATTGTTGATGAGGATTAGGAATAGGTGGCAAATACTTATCGTTCAAAAAATAAATAGAAATTTAAGCCAAGATATAAAAACAGAATTTCAGTTTCACTTAAGTATTAAACATGCCTATAGGATCTCTGAGGAAGCCGTAGAGCCCCCTGATGAGGGAGGGTTATTTAAGCTTTCAACTTTGTTTTAGAGAGATTCCAGTTATGAAGGGAACTTTCACCCATGAGCAATTCCATCTGAACAGGAATTAGAACATATAAAGCAACTTTCTTTTTTTTTTTTTTTTCCTCCGGTACCGGGAACCGAACTCACGACCTTGCACTTGCCAGGCAGGCGCTTTGCCGCTCAGCTAAATCCCCAGCCCCTATAAAGCAACTTTCTGATAAGAATTATTTTCACAATAAAAGCTCTAACAGAGAAGTCAAAGTACAGAACATTCCAATTACTTCAGAAAAAAATTAAATGATTCCAGCTTTTCCAGGAAAGGCATAAAATTCTGCTGTATGTAATATTAACTGTATATGGAAACTAACACATATCAATTCAAGCAGTTAAAGCAAATTGATAATTATATACTGTTGATACAATACAATACATAGTAATATATAATTTAGGTAATTATAAAACTTCTTAGAACTGCAGTTCTGTGTCCCTTTCTCTTCCTGCTTGTTGCTGCCTTCTCATTTTCTTTTCCCTTTTCCTCCCTTCCATCATATTTTCACAGAGGAGGTGGAGGAAGAGGCCCTGTTGGCCCGGGCTAGGTAACACTGGGTCTGAGGGAACTGCATTCAAGTAAAGTGGGTAACAGGTCCGCCTCGGTCTGAACGTGCAGTTCACTTACTGGGATGACTGTGCTTTCTTCCTCTTCTTAGATTTGACATCTCTAAGAATTAATGAGTAGATTATTGTAATAATTAAGGTATGTTAAGCTCTCTTTTCCTTTCCTTTGACATGGTTAGCGCTATGTTATTACTCATAATCAGTTAAAATACTTAACACTAGAGCCGATCAGTTGTATAATTCCAATAGCTTCAGCAAAGTGTCAATCCTTTTTAAAATAACTGTTCAAAAGCCTCAAATACTGTCTGCTGCACAGAAAGGGTTTTGAGATGATATACTGACTTCTGCAGATGAAAGCAATACTGGATATATAATGATTTGAGAAGCAGCTAAGTTTTATTACAGTAATTATTGTTGCTCCTAGAAAAAGACTAAGATTAGTGAAAATAGTAAAACCATATTTTAAAAACTAAAGGATAAAGAAAATATGATATTTAAACATAATGGAGTACTACTCTGATGTAAAGAAGGACAATCTTGGGTCATTTGTGGAAAAATGGATGCTCCTGGAGACCATGAGGTTAAGAAAAAAAATCAGATGCACAGTCTTAAATACCATATGGTTTATCTTTTATGAGAAGCCCAAGATATAAATAAAAAGAAAAATAAAGACAGAGAAGAGGGAGCAGGGAGATACATTTGGTTTAAATGGGAAGGTGATCAAGGGAGGCAGGAAGGAGACAGAGGAAAGGGATGGAAAAGTGAATTAAAATGTGCCTGGGCAGAAACCAACTTCCCACGAGGAACGCAGTCAATATATATTGCAAACATGTGTTAATAAAAAGTACAAATTGAAAAAAAAAGTAATATAAGCCCCAATATTTTCCAACCTGGAAATGGAGAGGAACATAGAAGTCTATGTCTTCTCAATTATTGCTAAACTTAATTATACTCATGGGCATTAATTGGGCAAAACATCTTTTCAAGTCATTTGTTCTACTTTTTTCAAATTCTGAGTCAGCTTATTGGTAAAATAAATAAATAAATAAAAGCCTGACTTAATTTCCCAAAACCAACTACATTGTCACTGTTCTCTGTGTTTTCATGATATTTATGTTTATTAGTAACCTAACATGTATCAACTCTTAGTAAACTTAGTTGGACACCTGAATATTTACCCTAACAGGGTAGAAATTTTATTATGAAACAGAGGATAATGTCAGAGGACAGAAAACCATAAAAGTCCTGTAATGAATATTACTGCCATTTTTGATAGAGAATATTAAGTGAATTACTAGCTAGGGATAGTGGCACATGCCTATAATCCCAGCACTGTGGGAAGTCAAAGCAGAAGGATCACAAGTTTGATCACAGCCTGGGCTACTGAGTGAATTAGTGAGACTCTTTGTCAAAATAAAAAGGGCTAAATGTGCCTCAATGCTAGGGATCTGGTTTCAATCTGCAGTTAAAAAAGAATTATTAATATGAGAAAGACCAAATTAAATAAAAAATTAAACCAAGGGTAAGTGGAAAAGAAATAATGTAAGAGCTAAAATCAAGGACAAAAAGTAAACGAAGGGAGAAAATTAATCAAAACAGGTGCTCTTAAAAATAAAATCAATAAGCCTTTAGCTAGAATGATCAAGAAAAAAGAACAATCTGACAATATCAGGAATAAAAGATGGATATCACTACATCATATATTAGATCACTACAGTCAGATATTAAAAGGAAAAAAGTATTATAAACACTGTGTTAATAATTTATAACATTAATAAATAATTTATTAACATTGTGTTAATAATTTTAACACAATTTGTGTTAATAAATTACAACATCTAGAAATCTGTCAGTATACCTCACCAAAGAGGAGAACATAACCTATATGAACATGAAAGTATATATAGCAAAGAACATGAAAAATCCTGTCATCCATGATAAATACTAAAAAGTCATCCATCGAAAATAAATCTTCCCCAAACATTGGGCAGAAGAGGACTTTCTCAATCTGATTAAGACATCAACAGAAAACCAAGGGCCACCACCACAGTCAATGCTAAGTGGTTTGGATATTTCTTTCTACATCCAGAAAGAAGACCTAACTCAATGACTGCCTTCATCATGTACTAGAGGTCATAGGCACTATGATAAGGCAAGAAAATTAAATGTTCATGACAGTGTGAAAGATAACATGTGCAGTCACTAGCCTTAAAAAATCTACAATCCTGCCATGCAATCAGAGTGTACTTCCCCGATGCCTTGTCCCTTCACTGAATTCCTTGTCTTCACACACACAATATCCTACATCATCTCACTTACAATTCATGGTCCACTTACAACTCATGGTCCATGGTCCATAATCCTGCCATTTTGACAAGAAGTAGGCCAGTATTATATAACAGTAAAACATGCTTTTACCACAAAACCTCTAAATCTCATTACTAGGTATTTATCCAGAAGTGATGAGAACACAGATGCTTGTGCACAATTATTCACAGTAATGTTGTTCACAACAGCCCAAACTGGGAACAACTCAAACTTCCATCAGTCCTTCAATAGAAGACAAAAGTGATATTTATACTGAGAAGCACCAGTTTAGCCAGAAAAGAGGATCAAAGAACAATAATGGAATATCATGAATAAGTAAGTGCCTACCCTCTAATTTCCATTTAATGAGTATGCTAAAGATAAGCATGCCAACATGTTGCCCAGTCTCTCTTGAAAACTCTCTGAACTCCTGTTCCACCCCTAAATTTGCAGTCACTAAAGTCAAGAAGTCCACAGTCCTGTGACTACCTTTCATCCCTTGTCTACTTTCTTTCTCCATAACATTCTACCCCATCTCACGTCCCACACGTGATTTCTTGTTTTATTTAGAAAGCAAAAGCAATGTTGATAACCTATGAGCCATCCCTGCCTGCCTACTCCTCTGCCTGGAACCATACACTCTGCCTTCGCAGCTGATGCCACAGAGCAGGGATTAGAAACCTATGGCAATGTTTGTATCACTGAAGGCTCTAACAGATTCACCATCATTATGGTAGAGCATCGATCAATAAATTATGATCCGCTGACCTAATCTGGCCATCATCTGTATTTATAAATAAAGTTTTATTGGGACACCCACATCCACTCAGTCACCCATTATCTTTGGCTGCATTAGTGTACAACAGAACAGGGGTGCAGCAGAAGGCAAGAGATGCACACACCTCAAACCCTGTGTGCCCTTGGGTGGGGCATGGCTGAACCCTGGCACACATCGACTTTGCTCCTAATGAAGGCCAGGCTTGCCATTTCCTGGATCAAATCCCCTCTCACGTTTTTTTCATTTGCCACTGTTCCCTTTACTATCATTTATTATCCTCCATTAGAAATAAACCTGCTCTGATTTTGTTTACCTTAATGTATCCCTGCATGGAAACATCGTGTTGTGCCTCTTAATACTGCTTCGGTACCTAACAGCAGTAGAATGAGAAACCCTCCCGCCCATGTTCCCCAATTCCCTATTCTGTTTCTTCCTCCAGCTAACAACCTCCCTCAAGCTGTGTGTAGGGCCTGTCTCTAGTTCTCCCCTCTTGCTCTCTGTCAGAGCTGTTCCCCTGAGGCCCTCCTGGCAACTGCAGGGGGAGCCTCCTCTCTGCCTTGTTTACTGGAATAGCAAGCGTCAGCCCTAAGCTCTGTGAGCAATGGGCCGGTCACTTATCTCATGCAGAGACACAGTCTCCCTGTGTAACGGCTGATACATGTGCCAATTTGAGAAGTTTAGAAGCTTAACTTAAGTGACTCATCAGTGCATCCTAGGGTGTAGAGGACATGCCCTAAGGTGGCTGTTTACATCCTAGAACTATGTGATGGTTGATTCATTGTGTCAACTTGGGAAGTTTAAAAATTTAGCTAAGTGACTCAGCAGGGGCACACGGTCCTCACTTTGTAATCCTCAGCCTGTGCAAGAGGAAGGCATGGAGATGCACTGGATGCTACATCCACCCTAGGGTAGGCAGCCTGCATACAATATAAGGGAGGAAAAGCAGATTGCTCTTCGCCCTTTTTCATCTTGTTGATTTTGCTGTCTTCCACTGCCATGAACTGTTGCCTCTTTGCCATGCTACCTTGCTTTGGAGCCAGCTGATGACGGCCTGAAACCTCTACAAAACTGTGAGCTAAATAAACCTTTTCCGCTTTAACTTTGTCTCAGCAAAGAGAGAAAAGTAACTAAGACATCCAGTGGCTTCTGGGAAATCGTGTTGTGCTGGTTGATGCTCGTTCTTCTGTCCTTCTCAGAAGCAGTCTTCTCCACCAACACCCATTCCCCTGTGACTCTGTTCAGCCCCGTCTCTGTGCAGACATCTACCTTCTGACACATCTGAGATTCACGCTCCCGTTCTGAAATCCTGCCAAGCCCAAGATATGGATATTCAATTGCCTGTCTGATCCTCCTCCTTAGGGTCATCTCAAACTGCTCCATGTAAATGAGACCCCTCTACTCCCCTTCTCAAATCCACTTTTGCTTGTGACCTTTCTCAATTCAATTAATGTTAACTGTCTCTCTAGTTTTACAGGAAAACAAAAAGAACCTCAAGGTGAGCCTTGCTTCTTAAATCTCACAGGCAGCTCACCTACACATACCTCCCTGCCTCCCGCCTTTACTTTAATCCTGTCTAATATCTCTTGCCTCGTGCTCTTGTACCGTGGGAATACACCTAGATAACTGCACCGGCCTCGCCGTCTCTCCCTGGCTCTTGCCCCCTCTTAGTGTTTTCCCAACAAAGTAAGCGACCATCTATTGAAAACTGGTTGGAATCGCAACCTGATCATGCTCTGAAGCCTTCAGAGGCTTCGCCTTTCACATTAGGCAGAACGAAAGCCAACTCAGCAGAATGTGTGCAAGGCTGACACACCGCCCAAGGCTCACCGTGGATCGCTGCCTTTCTGCCCTGGAGTCGCAGCTCTCCCTTTAGCTTATTCTGCTCTGGCCACACTGACCTTACTGCCCCTCAGTGCCCCTCACAGGCGCGAGCCTCAGGATCGCAGCCCCAGGACAGCCCCTGCGCCCGCCTTCACTCTCACCTAGGCACTCACAGGACCCTCATTCATTTCTTCACCTCCTTCATCTATTTTTGTAACACCCACCTCTCCCAGGGCCTCTCTGTGGTCCCCGTGTCCCAATCTGACACGTGTTTATTTGGTGTCTATTTCTTCTCAGGTGAATCTTAAACTATTAAGGCTAAGAGGATTTCAAAAAATCTAGTGTGTTAACTATCAGAAATTTATTTTGTTAACTATGTTCCCCCATCTTCTTGAATAGTACCCAGTACATGGCACAAAAATTAACTATTTTTTGAGTTAGTTAAAACATGTAAGTGTTTTGCAAATTGTAAAGCAATACATACGTGTGGTGCAATAATCACTCCTCAGCTTGCAGTTGGGCTTTGGACTCACTTCTTACTCTGCAGTAGCCATCCTGCCTGCTATCTCTCTAGTCTTTCAGCTGTAAAAAGAACTCTGAAGTCAGCCTTGATGCTGCTTTCTCAGTCTCATACAAAACACATCCACAAATCCTTATCATCCCTGAATGGACATTTCAGCCAAGCTGTGGTTAAAGAGCTTAGATCTACTGTCCCAGCTGTTTCATTAGGAATCACACAGTGGGAATTCAAATCCAGTTATGATTCCAGATTCTGACTTCCAGTCATCCAACATTTCCCCCCAGCAGCAGTGAGTGTAGCTTAGTGAAAAAGCCTATGCTTAGCATGGACAAGGCCCTGGGCTTAATCCTGAGCACCACATAAAAAATGTTTGTAGACATCTGACCATTCAGGGACCTCACATTAGAAGTCCTGTGATGAATGGTGACTCACAGGGAAAAATCTTTCCAAAAAATGTCAGAGATTGGAGGTCTCCAAAGAGCCCTTGGAAGTGTGATGTTTGAATTTATGTCACTACTGGACCATAAGATATTTCTAATAAACCAAAATTGACTAGTTGGGAGAAATGCATGGTATTTTTGACAAGTCTGAGCATTTAAATCTAGGCGTTGTTTCCTATTAAATATATTGCGTAGTTAGTTTTCATCCCTAAAGGATTTAATTAGCCTATTGATTTTCATTGTCTTCATTACAGATACACAGCATTTAAGGTAAATTTCCCTTGTTTTTGGTTACTGAGATATGGATTTGGTCTTTGTGGTTACTATTAGATGTGAACCACTGAAGTTCTTTTCCAGATAAAACTGTCGTTCACAGTGCTTCCTTCTTCATTTCCTCCTCTTTAAAATCTGCATCTTATTAAATTTCTCCACAAGTCAGGGGTGAGACGTACACAAGGCCTTTTCAATACAAGCAAAATTAAATGTAGCCACTGTTCACTCACTGAGAGTCAGATAGATCTCAGCTCATCTATATGAGCTCCAGGGGTTTATTTAGGAAATATGCCCTGGAACAGAAATATTAAAACACTCTGGGGGCTGGGGGTTTAGCTCAGTGGCAAAGCGCCTGCCTGGCAAGCGCAAGGTTGTGAGTTCGACTCCTAGTACTGGATGAAAAACAAACAAACAAACAAAAGATCTTTCAAGCACTCTAAAACAATCAGAAATTAATGCAATAGTGGCTATATTCTGAAGTTTATTTGCTTATTTCCTCAAGGAAACATTTCAGCTCTTACAGGGACACAATTTCCCAAAGACTGGCTAGTGGTGTTTCTATGTCAATGAGACTTAGAAATAATGCATTAGGGAATGTGTGCCTTAAGGAAGAGACAGTCAGACCTTAAATAATGCTAAGTAAGTGTTTTAAAAAAGTATTTCTATCATCATTTGTCACTGAATGGATGACGCTCTGAGAAATGCCTCATTAGGTGACACTGTCATTGTGTGGACATCATAGACTGTGCTGACACAAGTCTGGATGGTACACACTTGCTGTATCCCTAGGATGTATGGTATATATCTGCTCTATACCTTAGCTGTGTGGTACACCTTTGCTATCCATGGGCTATACAGTGTATACCTGCTCTAACCTCGTCTACACCTGCTATGCACCTTAGCTCTAAGGTATAAATTTGCAGTGTGCCTTGAGTGTGCATTGTACACAATCCATCACTGGCCAAAGTATCATGAGGTACATGAGTGTGTCCACTGAATGAGGGGGTACATATGCTATTGCTCAGAAAGATTTGCTTCAGAATAGCTATTTGATTTTTCATGTTGGCACTCCTGAAGGTTTTCAACTTCAGTAATCTGTAAAAATCACTTATCAACAGCTATTTAATGACAGAAAACTTAGACTAGAGTAAGTCATTAAAATATCCTCCAGGCATGAAAACAGAAATTTAACCTGATTACAGATGTATATAGACACTGATAAAATCCAGTTCAACAGGACATTTTGAAAGAAGCTCCCACCCAAGAAAATGAGTTGCTACTGATTCCCAAAGCCACTGGAGCTGGCAAGACCATCAGTAACATAAGGGTACAGGTCAAGTTGCCTTTACCTGAGACATTTAGGACCTAAAGCATTTCAGGTTTCAGAACTGTTTGGGCTTTGGAATATTTCCATATTGAGATATCTTAGGGGACCCAAGTCTTAGCAACAAAGCTCGCTCGCTGATGTTTCATGTGCACTTTAAGTGACCTTTATACACTATTTTCAGTACACTTGAGTTTTGACTGTGACCTACCATAGAAAGCCAGGCATGGAAGACTCTACTTGCAGCACTACATTAAAATTCAAAATACTGTGAGTTCTGGAGCATTCTGACTGGGGATGATCAACCTGCATCTCACAGTCCTGACGCGAAGCACGGAGCACCTTACCCAGCGGCACCCTGGCGGCACTGGCGTCGGGGTTGATCCAGAAGGAAAGCCAGGACAACACGACGATCAGCAGGGTCGGGGCGTAGACACCCATCATGTAAAACCCGACCTGTCTCCTCAGGGTGAAGATGACCTCCACGCATGTGTAGTAGCCTTTCAGAGACAGACAGATCACAGGCATGAGCCGGGGACCCACACGCACTGCACATTCACCAATGCATCATGGGCAGCAGGACCCAGCCATGGAGAGTTCAGCATGAAAGCCAGAAACAAAGGCTTTTCTTTAAATATGAGATCTGAAAAGGCTTCCCCTGAGCTTCTGTGGCAACATCGTGACACTGAGACACAGATCCTGCCTGCGGTTCCATTATGTTGGTGGCTAGGCTTGAAATGAAAAATTTAAGGGAAGTACTGGAAGCAGACGTTAGCAAGTGGAAGACACAGTGTCTCAACGTATGTACACAACAGGCAGAGTGCTGCGATCTGATCTTCTGCTCCAGCATTTTACTTCCTCACCTCCAGGCCCTCAAATGTCCTCTAGCTGGGGGAAAGAATTCATTTTCACATGCAGAGGCAGATACAGGAACTATAGCTAAGTCTAGAACTGCCATGGCATCAGCTAGACCCTGAAGTAAGAGGAAGGTACGTGGTAGCCTTTGCCAATTTGAGAAACAGAACAAGCGACAGAAATACGCTCATAGCACTCCTCAGTGAGACACGCTATTTCCAGGTGTTTTAGGTGATCTTAAAAATATTTTGGTCCTTTCAGTTAGCAGTTTAAATATAATAGTTAATCCCTAAATGCTCAATTTAAATAAGAATTCCACTCAATTTAACAAAAGTAAGGTTACGCATGACACCAAAAAGTTAAAATATGTCTGATTTTTTTTCAGTTTAAACCAAGCACAATTATTTTCAAAGGCTAAAATGAATTTTAAAAAAATGAACACTGCAAAAGTGAAATAATTACAGAGGAAAGGACAATATTCCTCTATGCTGCTTTATCGAGAAAAGTAATATTTACACAGCCTTCATCATGGGGATGGAGATACATGCTTGGACACTAGAATAATCTTTGCATGTATCCATCATAGCTCCTGGGGCAGTACTTGCACGTAACGATTCTTAATAAAAGCTGACTTAAAGAAAGCAATTGACATCTTCTTTACAAGTAATTTGCATGAGAGATCTACCTTTTTCCAATGTGAATTGAAATTACTACTACCTCTGAGAGGTTAGAAAGGTAACAAGACATGAAACAAAAATTATTAGCTGCTTAAAATGAACTGAAATGTAATTGTGTCAAATGCTTCCATATTATATAAAAAAACTCAAAGCTTCTTTTTCTAATTTTAATTTCAATAAAACCAGGCAATGTATTAAGTTGTCCTCAGGCTTTCAAAATAGAAAACAAAACCAAACAATGAACAGTCCTTTTTTGTTTTTCATCAGTCACTTTAACTTTTCTGCCCAGACAAAGAACATGTGTTTTAAATTAACAATCATATGCAACACTTAAAAATACAATCTTTCATAGGTATACCTGCTGAAATTAAGAAGGATCATGGTTTTTCCACAAAGTAGTTCCAAAATAGCTTGCTTTGTAACAGTATTATTTTTTAGATTAGCTTTATATTCACCTACTGCACAGGAAATGGAGAATGATACATTCCTGCCTCTTAACAAATTATATACTTTTAAGTAGCCTTGGTTGTCACAAAGATTATTACAAAGTAGCACACTGTAAAATAAAATTTTACAGTTCACCCCACTCCATTTCAATGAGAGTCTAAATAATAGAAGTCCCGTGATTTAAGGCAAATTTCCATCATGTACTTTTAAAAGGTCCCATGACAGGAGATTCACAGGACTTGGATACACTCACCAATGAAATCCATGCTTGATATTACTGTGATTTGCTCCATAAACTTTTATGAGAAACATTTCTGGGTCTGTTTTGATCTTACCCTCGCACTGGTACATTTATGAGGGGCAGGTGGGCAGCTAATTGCTATAAATGTTCATTGGGAAAATTCAATTTATTTTCTATTTCCTGTGAGGTTTTATTTCATTATCCATTCAGGTATCCAATTTATGTATTTTTATGTACTTATTTTCCCATATATTTCTTCACTTTTGTTATTTATCTCATCACAAGAAAATATAGCTGCAATAACATTTAGAGCTGAGTTATTTGTAAAATTAGAGAACATTGGCAATCATTTTATGCACATTGCTCTACAATACCACATTGCTCAAACCCCATGTATTCTAATTATCCTATCTTTGTAAATATTACCCAAATATTATAATGTTTCACTTATGTCCATATGACAATTCATGTAAATGCTGATAAAGTACCTGATTTCAGCAACTTATTTATGTTGACTCAGAAAATGACAAAATAACTCTACTTACAATTCTTGAGTAATGGCTTAAATTCTTTCCACCACAGCGTACTTTTTCACTTTCTGCCATAGAGCTAAAGTATTTATTTTACTTATTTACTGTAATGATATATCGCTCTACAAAGAGTGGAGATTTGTTTTTAATTTATTGCTGAGGCTTCCAATGGAAATTTTTAGCAATAGGTCATAAAAGCAAAAAACAAAAAGAAATGAACACCTCTAGGACTCTCAAAGTTGTGAAAATAATTTTGTGCTACAAATAAATTGCTAGTTTAATTTTATATCTAAATGAAATTTGAAACTTCAATAGAATCTTTTTCAAATTTCTCACAGCAATTTAGATCATTCATTTTAAAATGTGATCTGAATGTGTGTAATAACCCTTTTCAGATTATATCAGCACTCCACATATAGTGTAAGAATAACAAAATCAATAGTCTAGTGTTCCACATAGTCATGGTATGACCTTAGTCAAGTAAGGGTCTTTAATTTATTAGAACAGTGTGTCAAATAATAATAAAATATTTAACTCAGAAGATTGTTGTGATCATTATTTAAGCCATATAAGGCACTTGATACCTAAATATAGCACTAAATAAAAAAAATATCTAATATGTCTGTGCTACAGCCCCCAAAACACTGTACTTAATACCTGAATACTGTAAGGAATTTAAAAAAATATGTCTACTACATCTTTGTTACAACTATCCTCAAAACATGTTTTGAGGTTATCAGGATTATTCTTTTTAACTTCTAGATGAGCTTCAAATGTGGTAAGTAACTGTACTCTTAGTGGGAAGGAGTTCACCTGGACCAAGAGTGGCTGTGTCTGATCACCAGCCTGACATTAATACGCCTGGTGATAATCGACAGGGCATTCAGTTATCCTGGACTTCCATTTCTTTATGTGCTAAAATAAGCTACAAGCCAGGTCAGAGTATTTATATGATAACTTTCATATCTAACAATCTATGTAACTATGACTTCGTCATTGAGTAGTTTGCTAGTCAAACTTTTAAGACTGCCATTTTTAACTTTTAAAAACCTAATGTTGACATATTTGGCTATTATGTTTCTTGTCCTCATATAGTATAAGCTCGATAAGAGAAAGGGTTGCTTACATATGTTATATATTCTGTCCGTGTATGTGAACATCAACAACAGTTTTAAACGAACTTTGTCCTCAACATTCCCACTGTTGCTTTTATTTTAATGGTATAAAAATACAAATGTACATTCTCTCTCTTAATATCAAGCATCTGCCTGAAACAACCTATCTCTCTAAATTCTACACAATTAAAATATAGACCTTTTTATTACTACAAGTCAGCATTCATGCTGCAATAAAGTTATAACTTCACATTTGTTCCTGCATAGCCTCTATCATGGTTTACTTCTTGATACAGAATTAGAATTGTGTGCCAAAGCTGAACTGACTATGACTACTAACAGAATGACCAAAATTCTACACCTCTCTTATTTCTAAGTGAAATAATACTATGTTCCTCTCTAGAACCTTCTGTGACCTGGATTCCGAGGTTGGACACTATTTCATGACGATGCTAAGTAGTTGTGCACTGTGTTTTCTGCCAAGGTCAATGTATTCTAGTGACGGAGGTGGAGTTTGGTGCCTTTCATCACTGGCTGGTCACTGATGTGGGCCAAGAGGACCGTGCAGCCCAGTGATCTCACACTTGCACTTCTTCCTGAATAGCACAAAGCTTTATGCTCTCTACCATCTAAAATGGACGTAGACAAGTGGATTACATTCTTCATATACGCAGTTTTAAGCCCCAGTTGAATCTTTCCAGAAGTAAAATTTCTTAGCAACATCTTAGAAAAGCACTGCCTTGGACAATCTGCATGTGTAAAATAGAACAGTGCCAGAGTCAGTGACTCACACCTATCATCAGAGCACCCCAGGAGGCTGAGGTGGGAGGGCTGCAAGTTTGAGCCTGTCCTGGATAACTTACCAATTGAGCCAGACCTCCTTTCCAAATCCAAAATATAAAAGGGCTGGGCGTGGGTTTGTTACGGAGGTGGGGATTTTAGGTGGTGACTGCACGGGTGGTGAGCTGACTTGATGTTAGGTGGTAGGGTCTGTAGGAGGAGGCCGGTCACTGGGGATGTGGCCAGTAAAGGGTGTATCTCTCTCCCTTCGGATGCCCCCTGCTTCCCCGAAACAATGCTATGAGCAGCACTGCTCTTCCCTGCCCTGGGCCATGCTGTCCTGCCTTGGAGTCTGCAGACTGCAAACTGACACCTCTACAGACTACACCTAATAACCCTCTTCTCCCTCGAGCTGCAGGTGTGAGGTACTGTGAATCTACCAATACAAAAATCCCTAGAACAGTGTCTCAGTGTAAAGTACCACAAAGGTGACTAAATAAAATCAAGTGAAATTAAAAAGTGAAAATTTCTTACCATCAGAATTACATGAGAAAAACCATGTTTATCTAGTAATTCAATTACTAAAAAAACTGTGGTGAAAGAAATTCTGTGAAGGATTTAACATACGAATAACTTATTTTTAACCAGCTTTCTTCTCCTCTTCCCTTAAAACACACTCATAATAAAATGAATCTTCGAAACAAGCAGCGAGAAGGGAGGAAGAGGGAACACAAAATGCATTAAGGTGTGCTGTGTCCATGCACGATCCCCACGATGAATGTAAGCGTTACATACTGAAAACATGCACTAATAAAAATATTGCTGTAAGAAATAATTTTAAAAAGCTATCACTTACCAGTGCCTTTGTAATATTTGGTACAGTTTCCGTACTCAATATCTTCCTTTTTAATATCGAACTGAGGCAAGGCAATTTTTTCCAACTGAACGGGATCCCCTGACTGCCAGATAAATCGCAAATCATCAGTTGTGTAACCAACTACAAGGAAAAATAAATGCAAGGGTCAGACTGAAATACATTTAATTGTGAATGCTTAATATTTAATACTTTTCTTAATGTTTAATAATCTAAATACTAAACATAGGAAGGTAAGACAAAGGCTACACTTCTATGAAATTGTACGTAGCACTACAAGACAGTAAAGGTGGTGCTCCGCTATGAAACTCACACAAGAGTTACAATCATCTTGAAGAATGAAGACGTTTAAAGAACAGCATACTATTAATAGTTAAAATCCTAGAAGACTGTGCATAAATAAATATTCACCTATGTCTGAGTTCTTAGCCCTCATCAGTGAAAAGTCATAAGTGATTGAAGATTTCTGACTGTACGCATTTACCATCATGCAACATGTTACCTGCAGTTTTTTTAAGAAGTATAAGCATTTAGGTATTTAGTGTTTTGAAATCACTTCAAACTTTCCTAAAAGAGTTAAATCCTGACAATAAAATAAAATAAAATAATGAAATCATCCCTTCATTGACATTGACGCAGCAGCATGTGGGCTCCCAGAAGCCCACATTTTCCTCTTAGAGAATGTGGCCACCTTCCAAGCAGCGCAATGTGTAGTAGTGCATGAGCGAAACCTCAAGCGCATCTACGCTTACAAACAATACTTCCGTACATCTGGTAAACAGAACTAGTATGTGAAGACACAGTTGAAATTTTTGATATAAACAAATATTGACAAACATACATATGCACATACTTATACAGAAAACACAAGTAAAACACATGTACATACATATACTTACATGTGCAAATTCTCTTTTTATAGTTAGAGGAGAAAAATACTGTCAATGCTTAGGATCCACTTCCATATACATTTTTTTAAAAAATGACAAAAACCATGAAATAACTTGAAGCATATACTATAACAAGCATATGTAACATATTTTATAAGGTTATTATTCTTTTTTACCCTGCAGAAATAGATCACGGTACATAGGTATTCAGGCTACAAATTCCTTATGACATTAGTATTAATTTTTCAGTTTATACAGGATAATCATCACAGCAAATTAATATTTTATGGAAAATTTCTATAAATACATGTCCTTTAGTGCATATTTTATAACCTGATTATGTATAGTTATATGTATACATTTATAAAATCATTAAAATCAAATGTTGTTTAAAAATCTATATTTTATCTAAGAATCCACAGAAAAGGAATACCTGTTTGCATCTGCAGAATATTTACAATGTTTCCCAAATTCTTTGCTGTGAAAATGTGGTTTTAACACCAAGGAAGTTACTTTAACTAGCAGTTTTCTTCATTACCTTTGAAGTAATACTTATTGAAATTAAAATGGCAATTGGGATGAGTTAAAACTACGTATACTTAGTGCCAGTTGAACTAAAACCAAGCAGGCTAAGTCTATTTTAATAAAAAATAATATAGTAAGAAATCACTATAAGTTCTCTGAAATTACTCTAATGCCTATGTGTGATCAAGAGCATGAGTACAATGTACTGCAAGAGATCCGCACTTTATTCCCGGAGGCGCTCCCAGTCCCACACTTACAGCTCTCCAGCTGCATCTTGCAGCGCTGTGTGTCCATGGGAAACAGAGTTAAGTCCAGCGGGCACGAAAGAGTGATAGATAACCTGAAAGCAGAAACAGGGAGCTAAGAATTGACACGGTCTACATCTCTGCAGCCCACGAATTTGCAAAAGGAGAAATAAATGTGCAAGGATATAAAAGAGCACCTCATGCTGACAAGGACATCTCCATCCCGAAAAATAAAGAGCAGTATGTTTTCCTGGGTCACATCATGGAAATTGGCACTTTTCTCATTTGCAAAAAACAAATCAGGTTTCCACAAACACTTGTACATCGTGGGGTCCACTGTGAGCGCATCGGAGCCCCGAAAGTCACTGGGGAGCTTCAGCCGGGGGTCATTCCATTTTTGTCTCAGGAAGATGTTAACTCTATAGTCCTGGAGAATGAATGAGTAAAGGAATGTGTGCAGTTATTGCTATTTTCAATTATTAAAGATAATAAATGTGTGCATGTGTGCTGGTCACTATTTATAAGAGCATTTTCAGCACCGGGAGTTTTACTGATTGTAGCACCAATACTTTTGCTTTTCTTTTCTTTTTTTTTTTTTTCCAGTACCGGGAATCGAACTCATGACCTCACCCTTGCCAGGAAGGCGCTGTGCCGCTGAACTAAATCCCCGGCCCCTACTTTTGCTTTTCTAACATCAACCATGGTCACATCAGATGGATTACTAAGTGAGATCTCAATTTGTAGGGCAAAAATACCCTTGTATCTATGTAATTACTCGCTACCAATATTCCATAGCTCTCACTAGCTCAAATGTCAGAATATATCTTTACTAATAATTTCTTTACATTTATACAAATACCAATAATTCCAATTGGCTAGGTGGCATTACCATAAAAACAGGAAAAAAAGACAAACTTTACTTAAGAGTAGGTAAGAAACAGGGAAAATATTTCTAATTGTCTTTTGCTAAGGAACTGTAATGGTTGATACATTGTGTCAACTTGAGAAGTTTAGAAGCTTATCTAAGTAACTCAGCAGTAGTGTAGAGGACATGCCCTAGAGCAGCTATTTACTTGTGATGGTTGATTCATTGTGCCAACTTGAGAAGTTTGGAAGTTTAACTAAGTGACTCAGGAGGCAGCCAAGGTCCTCCCTTTGTAAACATCCTGAGCCTGTGCAAGAGGAGGTTTGGGTGTAAAAGAGACTCATCCTAAGGTGGGGAGCCTGCATAAAATACAAGGGAGGAAAGGAGGCTTGATTTTCTCCTTGGCTCTTGCTGCTTTTGCTGTCTTCTGCCGCCTTGAAGTTGCCCCTCACCATGCCACCCTTCCTTGGAAGCCAGCTGATTATGGACTGAAACCTCCACAAAGTGTAAGCTAAATAAACCTGTCCTTTCTTAATTTTGGACATCAAGTATATTGTCTCAGCAATGAGAGAGAAGTAAGTAATAAACTAAAAAATAATATTACACGTATGTGTATGTCATACATACACACATTCAGTCACACAATAGTCTCTTGACATCTACTAGGAATTGATTCTAGGACTCCTGTGAATACTAAAATATGCAGATGTTCAAATCCCTTACAAAAAAAAACGTAGTTTTTACATGTAAACTACACAGTCCTCCTGCATACCTTTTTGTAGTTGTTTTGCTTTTTAAGACAAGGTCTTGCTATGTAATTCAGGCTGGCCCTGAACTCACTAGGTTCCCCAGGCTGGCCTTGAACCCAATCCTCCTGCCTCAGCCTCCCTAGTGCTGGGATTACAGGTGCGCACCACTAACACTGGCTCCTCTTGTATACTTTAAATCATCTCAATAATTTACAACACCTAGTACAATCTAACTGTCATTTAAGTAGTTGTTGTTTAGGGAATGGTGACAAGAGAAATATCTGTACACATTCATCGGTACAGATGCAGTGTTTTTTCAAATATTTTCCATCTGCAGTCGATTGAACCCACAGATGCAGAAGCTGCAGACACAGAGAGTGACTGTACTGTTGAGAAGGTCAGAGTAACGCTGCAACAGTTCCAACTGTGCATGACTACAGAAAGAGTTTGAAGCAGATAATCAGGAAGGGATCTGCATGGTGCAGAACAGATCAGAATGAGTGCAAAATTGCTAAATGTGTTGGTATGGGTATTCAACGACAGCTGAAAAATATTTTTAAATTTACTAAATAGTTGGTTATCTAATCAGCTGTTGAGCTGCAAGGATTGCAATTTCAGGTCTTTGGTGAGCTTTATTTTGTCAAGACACAGTGATTGTAAAAGTGCACGCACCGAGGTACATTTGTTGCACCGTAATACATCTGCACACACACCACTAAGGGTGGAGCCACACACACCCTGGGCTGTTACGCTCAGCATTGAGGGGTCATGCCCGGGTCTTCTCATTCTAATTTCATCTGCTAAATTCAGAACATTCACAAAGGTGTCCAAGTTATATTGGGCTTCAGGGCCTTCCTTACTTTCAATAGCTTAACATTTATAAAATACTATCATTCTAAACACTTTTGATATGATCAAAATGAGCTAAATCACAACATCAAGTCAAAATTCAAATAAATGGGAAGAAACAGCACATCATATTTTATTAAATAATGACCAAAAACATTTCTATGAGATATAAATGCAGGCACTATATATATGCACATATGAAATAAATGCTATGAAAATAGCCATAAGCAATGAGCACAGGCTATGCTCATGCTACGCTATGAAATAATCTATATACTATATATTACGAAATAAACCATAAGCAATGAACACAGACACTATGAAAACTTCATGAATTCACATTTTCATGTGTATAAGATTGCTTTCATAAACAGATTCTGTATGGTCTTTGGAGAAGGGTAAGACATTAAATAATAATATACATTTACTGAACTACAGGTAGTGAAGTAAGATTCAATCTGCCTATATCATATAGTAACTCAAACTTGGCATTTATAAAAAATCTCAACATATTGAGGTAATAGATATGGCAGTTAAACTGATCTGATCATCACACATTATGTACATATACTGAAATATCACATTGTACCTCTGGTGTGTACAACTGGCACATGTTCATTAAAAATAGAAAATTTGGGAAGACAACATACAATTTAGATTGATTCTTAAAAATCATATGTAAATAGTTTCAAAGTGCCAAAGTCACTTTCGAGGATTTCCTTATATTTTTAAATTATTATACATTCAAAATCCTTTTGAGAAGTAGGGATGAATGAAAAAGAAATAAAATAACAGCTTAGAGATGATCTTTACTGGATAAGAGACTTTCAACACTATTTGGATATCGCTCCTAAAAATGTCTGCCACCGTGGCCTGGAAAACGGATGCTTTATTTTATCCTAATATTAAATTTTCCTATTTTAACAGAATGTCACAAGTATGAAAAGAGATAGAATTATTAAGGGTCATTGGTATTTTGTAGAAAATATTATTACCTTTCAGAATATATACTGGTTTGTTTATCAGTAATTAACTGTCAGGGAATTTATATCAACAATTCATACTAATACTCCAGATATCTGGCCGGCAATGCTGAAGCAATGCTAACCTTTGCCCTCAGCAGATTTTGCATAATTACAAAATAAGCCACCTATAACATCTTGGGTTGAAGATCAGAAATTAATTTTGCTCTGTACCCAATTCTCCTTCAATTTTCCACACGTACACACATACATTCGGGACCACAGTTCTGCGTTCTACCTATTCCCAAAATGGTGTCTAGGTGAATGTTAGGGTCCATTCCAGCCCCAACCCTCACCCCTGCGGCGAAACTAAAAAAACCAACGTCTCACTGACAGACATCAGTAATCTAATTTGCATTAGATGTAATCTAATTTGCATCCTGCTGAAACCTCCCAAAGGTGTCCTGCCCGCTCAAACAAAGCCTTCTGCGCGCCAAATCCTCCCTCGCAATAACGTTCGGCACCTCTACCTCTGTATAAACCCACACTCCTTCCCTGCTGGCGCGCGCGGTCTCTACCCTTAGAATCCCACCCGTCCCTCCTATTCCAGTAAAAGTTTCCCGCTCTGTTGCGGGGCCTCGAACGTTCTCCCTTCCACTGACTTTACAGTGAATTCATCCAAAATCATACAGCACAGTTACTTTTTTCTTAAGAATCACGATAGCAATTTTAATAGTATTTGTCCGCATGGTTTACATCCCTAAATCTCTCTTGAAGTGTAGTCAACGTCTCCGCACAATGCGAGAATATCTTAAGGTCGTTTATCACCACCCTGAACCCACAGCGCCGCGGCCACCACAGAACGCTGCGCAGCACGGGGAGAAAGCCCGCTTCTTGGCGCCCGGCACCTCGACAAAACCGAGCCCATCGATGGCAAACAGAAGAAGGAGGAAGCATTTTAATTTGCAGTTGAGCTCCCTTTTACTTCAGACACCATCACAAATGATTTCTCGAACATGACAGTAATGTCCTATGCAAGCCAAGCCACAGGACGTCAGCGGAGGCTTGAAAAGCTAAAGACCCGGATTTAAATCTCCACTCGGAACCTCAGCGGCTTTGACTGAGCTCCAGGCCTCAGCCCCTCTGCGCTCCGTTTCCCGATGTACGGGGTGATGAGGAATCCTGACTGTCAACTTCCTTGGCTTGAGAGGCAACCGGGGATTAGTAAAACGTAACTGTGAGTGTTGGGTGGGTCCTGGAGGCGAGGCCTTGGGCTACATCTGCTCCTGGCCTCCTCCTCCTCGTTCTATCCTCTCCTCTCCACGCCCTCTGCCACCAGAGTCTGGCTTTGGAGCCCGCCCAGCCCGGACCGACAGCCTCTGGAACTCAGCTACATAAACTTCTGTCAGTTGTGGGTGCTGGGAAGTTTACTGCAGCGACTGGAAAGCTCATCAACACGTTTTTAAAAAATTAACACGGACCAATATGTTAACGTGAAGATTAAATAAAACAGTGCAAAACTAATATAGAACCTACTGTACGAATTCGTTTCCTTCACCTTTTATATCTTTGGGAATATGGCCACAGATCACATCAAACGCAGTTAGAAAAATATGCATTTAAATTACTTCCAATCCCAAGCTGATTGGCTGGTTTAGTCATTTGTTCAGAAAGTGTTTGCGAGCCCTGAATTCCCTTTCACCCTCTGGGTACTAAGGCCCCAGTATGAGCGCTCCATATCTTTACAGAAACAGCTACAAGAAATGCCTAGAATCAGTCAAACATGAAACAAAAAGGGGTATGCAAAGAAAACCAGACTGCAAGGAAACATCTTATGTACTCCAGGGGTCAGTTAAAACGAACCAAATGAACAGCACCTCCCCTCAAGCCCAAAAGGTGTCAGATGTTAAAAATCTCCAGGCTTGAATTATGTGCCACATCATTTGTTACCTTACCTACAGGAAGTTATTTGGTTTCTATGAGCCTCAAAATCTTGTTGATC